ATCGTAGGATTTGGCAACATTATTGGATACTGCGCTGGATATGTCAACCTGCCTCCACGCCTCTGGTTCCTCGGCGACTCGCAGTTCAAGATTCTCTGTGCCATCGCAAGCATTGCGCTGGCAGCCACCGTCGCCCTGAGCACCGTTTTGATCAAGGAACGGGATCCCCGACTGGATGGACCCCCCGCCAAGACCGATTCAGGACTCTTGTCCTTCTTCGCCAAGATCTTCACCTCCATCAAACGACTGCCACCGCAGGTCAAGAAGGTTTGCCAGGTTCAGTTTTGTGCCTGGATCGGCTTCTTTCCCTTGCTCTTCTATACGTCTTCGTACATTGGCGAGATCTATGTGGAGCCCTACTTGCAGGCTAACCCGCACATGTCGCCTGAAGAACTTGACGAGCTGTATGAACAAGCAACGCAAGTCGGCACTTTTGCGCTTTTGATCAATTCAGTCGTCAGTCTTCTGACAAACGTTTTTCTCCCCTTCCTCATTGCCCCGACATACGACAGCCACCCGGTGGTTGGTGACGTACCTGGGGAATCGGACATGGGACCGAAGTACTACGACGACGATAGCCCGCCGTGGCTCGACCGCCTTCAAATCCCCGGGTTCACTCTGAAGAGGGCATGGTTTGGGTCGTTGGTCCTGTTTGCTGGGGCCATGTTCTGCACCGTCATCGTCAGGACGGTCGAGGCTGCCACAGCTCTGATCGGCTTGGTGGGTATCACCTGGGCCATGACGCTCTGGGCTCCCTGGGCCATCATCAGCGCGGAGATCAGTCGACGAGATGCGATGGTCCGCGCCACGAAGCAGCGTCGCCCGAGCAATGAACGTTCAGCTCACGGCAGCAGCAGCGAGAGTGTCTCAACCGACGTGCATGCGAGGGGAGATCGACACCCGATCCAAAGCATCCAAAGCGACGATGAAGAGATGGACCAGGCGGGCGTCATCCTTGGTATTCACAACATGGCCATCGCGGCACCGCAGATCATTGCTACCATTGGTTCGAGCATCATCTTCCGGATCTGGCAGAAGCCAAGGGGAACACCGGGCGATCACTCCATCTCCGTCGTCCTGGCACTAGGTGGCATTGCGGTTCTCGTCTCGTCCTTCTTCGTGGCGAGCATCCACGAGAACACATCCATGCCGCTGGACGCCACGGTAGCAGCTGAGGAGGGAGATGGAGAAGGGAGCCGGCCCATGACAGCTCGAAGCCGCAGTTACGGACATTTGCCCCGTGCCACCCTGCAGAGGGCGACTCTGACCAGGAATAAGAGTTTTGGTGGATTGGAGTACTAAATGGTGGTATATGCCGGCACAACCTTCAGGACATGGCTTGGGCTACGGAGTCGGGAAGTACTGCCGCATTGCAAAGCGGATTGGAGGGTTTTCGCACTGGGATTCTGGCGTTGAACGAGGAGAACATGCATTTTTTTTTTTACGGCGAGATTGAACAGAGGCCCCACACCGGATGAGGAGGATTTGATGACGAGATAGACTGGAGCGATATACAATGCATGGAATCTATTCATTCTGAACCACTCAGTGACTGCTTTGTACGACACGCACCGATTGACTTGGCCTCATCTTGGTCCGCCAGTAAAGGGTGCGAGTGGGGAATTTGACATTTCGAAAAGGAGAAGAACAAAACAAGCCATATCGAGTAAGCACTACGAACAAACATCTTGGTCTTCACACGTTCCCAGCTCACCCTTGCGCCTGCACTGCTCCCGGCGCCGTGAGGACCGTCTTTCCAAAATCCCGAGCACTGACGCCCCTCTTGAAGAGGACATCGAGCTCCGCGAAGCTGCGCCCCTTGGTCTCGGGCAGCCTGAAGAAGGCCCAGGCGAAGAAGACGGCGTTCCAGCCGGCAAAGACGAGCGCAGACTGGGGACCCAGACCCCAGCCGTTGGGGGTGTCCTCGAGCATCTTGGGCGTCAGGAACAGGTTGAAGAGGCCGGCAACGAGATAGCAGGCGCGCCCGATGACGACCGTCTTGGCCTTGAGGCGCGTGGAGGACATTTCGCTGACGAGCGAGTAGGTCAGCGGGCCGAGGGTCAGGTTGTAGACGCCGGTGAAGACGATGAGGAGCGCGGCGATGACCCAGGGGACGCCGGCGGCCGAGGCCCGGGAGAAGCCGGAGGGCGCCGATGGCGGCCATGAGGAGGGCGGCGGCGCCGAGGCCCCCGAGCCAGGTGGCGCGGCGGCAGACGCGCTGCATGACGGACCAGCTGCAGGCGATGGCGACGAGACCGAGGCCGTACTGGACGAGCGTGTAGTCGTAGGCCTGCTCGACGGCGATGCCGCCCTTCTGGTAGAGCTTGGCCGAGTAGAACATGAGGCACGACCCGCACAACTGCTGCGTCAGGTTGAGCATGACGACAATCTCTGTGCGCCGCCTGTTGATGCCGTGGAAGCAGTCGGCGTAGCTGGGCACGGCATCGGGCGACTCCCGGGCCGCGGTTGCCTCTGCCGAAACGGCGGGCGCGTAGCGGACGGTCGGTTCGTTCTTGGACTTGGATGCGATGCTGGAGGTGCGGCTCGCCGCTGCCGGGCTGTGCAGGGAGTCCCTTTCGTGCTCGTTCGTGAGCTCCATGACGCGGATGTGGCCTTCCAGAGGAAAATCGGCCTGCCTGTTGAGCCGTCTGAGGGACCTCCTGGCGTCTTCGGAGCGGCCCTGACGAATGAGCCACCAGGGGGACTCGGGGGCGATGAAGGCACCAACGGCGACGGGGACTGGCCATAGCCATTGCACCATGAGGGGGATTCGGAAGGCGAGGAGGTTGCTGTCCAGACGTGTGACGGCCTTGTTGGCAGCTGTGGAGAAGAGCTGGCCAAAGATCCAGCACATGTTAATAAAGGTGGTGAGGGTAGGTCGCAGTTTGGCTGGCGCGATCTCAGAGGAGTACGCCAGCGTTGTGGCCTGGAACACGCCCCAGGGGACGCCCATGAGGAGCTCGCCGACGAACAGCATACCGAGGCCTGCGTCCGAGCCACCGATGGGGATAACGGTTGGAGAGAAGAAGCCGATGAGGAGAAAAACCATGACCTGGCCAAGGGCGAAGATGACGGTCTTACGGTGGCCGTAGCGGTCGACAGAGTGTCCGGTAAAGTAAATGCCGATGAGCTGGCCTGCGAGAGCGGCGCACAGCATTCCACTCTGCCAGAGAGCAGGGATCTCACGAGGAAGACCTGGGCCGTGAGATCTGCCGAAGAGATCTTGGAACTGCCTCAAGGAGAAGAAGTTGCCCATGAGAGCCAGATCATAACCCTCGCCGATGATGGTGACGGAAAAGAGAACCGACCAGAAGATGGCCATCTTCCATGAACGGATGACTCTTCCATACGGCGACGTTTTCTCTTGGATAAAGGCATTGAGGGCCTCGGGCTCTCGCCGGATATATTCGGGAGCGTCTTCCTCCATAGTGTTGATAAGGCTGCGTCGTGATGGAGTCAGGTATCGTATCCGATGCAAGATGTTGATATGTTTGAATACCAAACTGCAATGTCTGCCATGGCTGTCGGTGAAGTTGACAGAGCACTACCTTGTGTTTTTTAAATGGGAATTCGGTATGGGGAAGGACACATGGTTCTTGCCACATGAGGCGCCGTTAGTAGGTTTGCGGGTAGGTGTAGGTTCACGATGCGAAGGGGGGCAGGAGAGCCCGCCTTCTGTACCTCTAGTACCTAGCCCATGAGGCTAGGGTCCCTTAGGCAGTTGACTGGTGTATTCAAGGCGTCTGTATCTAGCATGTTGCCGGGGGAGCAAGCCGTGTCTGGCAGGTCGGGGCATCGCCAAAGCTCCAATCAGTCAACACGTCAGAGATTCCGGCGTGGCAATGCCCACTGCTTCTCCTGTTCCCTCCGTAAGCATGAATTGAACGCTGTTTAAGATTGTTAGGCAGGTAGACGTGTGTGGCATATATGGATGCCAGCACGTTTCAAGCAGATATTGTCTTTACCTTGCATCTACCGACGTAGCGGAGATAGACATCATCATCAAGGGTCTCCCTGGACACTTGTACCATATCCCACCTCACGAGACTCCGAAATATATGAAGCCACTCTGACGGCGAGAGAACAAAACGGAAGGCAAATCGTCATCCGCATCTCATGCGATCCGACAGCGCATCGGCAGAGGGATGCCGCCAGTGCTTTCCTGGCCGACGAAGCACCGTGCCGGCCAGATGTTGATTGTGCTTAGCCGTCGGCCATGAGTGGCTCGTGTTGTTTTGAGTTTGCGTTTACTTCACAATCGGTGGAGAGGCCATGATGGCATGTTATGTTGGAATTGCGGTTGTGGCTCAAAATCTGCTTGGTGCGAGCCTGTTTCCCTTAGCTGTGATGGGATTGTAACTGCCTAGGTAGGTACCACATCTCGGAATTGAAAGACGGAATATTAGAAAGGACAAGCGGTGTTCACCCTGCCAGTCAATGTTTTTACTTTGGCTGGCGTCCGGGGAAAGTCCGTCAGTAGAGATGTCGAAGTTTCTTCATTGGTCCCAGACAAACCGCAGGGCTGATTCGAGTGTATCGATGTTTGGTACCTAGGTAGCTCTAGTAGCATCCGAGCCATAGTCCCCGATCCTCCATCAGACTATAGTTCGGCTGGCGATGTTTGGGACCTTGGCTAAGAAATAGTCAGCGGACTGACGTCGGCTCTTTGGTGCAAGTGCATCCATGGGAGAGCCTGCTTGCATCATTGCCCAGGCCATTTACGACATGAGACAATGCGCCAACTCTGCGGCGCCGGATGATCTGTCAACGAGAAGAAGCAACATTGGCATTGCTCAGCATCGAAGGATACCCGTCTTCTTGCGCACTGCAAGTGCGTCCATACCGCCCTGACGAGGGCTAGTACCTCCTCGACTCACCACTACGGTGCCTCCCTGAATCCCGCTCCCTGTCTCTGTCGCGATGACTGCCTCGGTCGCGGTCGTAGTCCCTGTCACGCCCTCGATCGCGGTCCCGCTCGCGATCTCTCGCCGCGTCCTCGTAGCGGTCTCTCTCCCGATAACCGCCTTCTCTCCTGTCCCTCCTCTCGGCCTTTTTCCTTTCCTCCTCCCGCCGGTAATCGGCCAGCTTCGGAGGCCGGCCATCGCGCTTCTTCGCACCGCCGTGGTTCCACTGCCCCAGATCCTCAGCGTCCTGCAGCTTCTTCGCCCCCAGTCCGAGCTGGTTCTGCCGCCTCTCCCCCGCGGCTGCCCTTGACGGCTTAGGCCCCCGCATCTTCCCATCCCACCCCATGCCCCTCAGCAGCGCCGCCCCAAACTCCCCATCCGGTATGGCGTCGTAGTCCTCCATCGTCGCGTCGGCCCCAACATGCTGCGCCACGTCATCCTTGTAGGCGCTGTCCTCTGACGGCCGAATCGTCCTCTCCTCAGACGCGCGCTTCTTCCCCAGCAGCGCATCAAGGGCCGCCTCATCCGCCGTCTGCGGTCTCACAGCCTCGGCCGCCTCATCCGCCGTCTGCGGTCTCACAGCCTCGGCCGCCGGCGACGCAGACCGTCGACGTTCCCTGCCGCCGTCGCGCCCGCCATCGCCGGTCCTCGCACCCTCCTCACCCTCCTCGGCCTGCTGCTGTCGCGGCTTCGTCACCGTGAGACCCCACTGCATGTCCTTCTGCGCGTCCGCCGGCTCCGTCTCCCTGCCGGCCCCGGCCTGCGCGGCCTGCGCGTCCGCCGGCTCCGTCTCCCTGCCGGCCCCGGCCTGCGCGGCCTGCGCCTCGGCCGGCAGGAGGTTCTTGCCGCCGCGCTTTGCGCGGAGCTCGGCCTTCCAGTCGCGGTTTGACTGTTTCGTGATGACCAGGTCGCGGGGCTTCTTGCGGGACGACCTGTCGGCGTCCGAGTCGCCGCCCAGTTCGGTGATTGCTTCGTGGCGGTGGGCGCGGCCGTCGTCCGAGTCCGAGTCTGAGTCGTTGCCTAGAGCCGGGGCGCGAGACCGTTTGCCTAGGCGGGAGGGCGGCGGTGGTGGTGGTCGGTTGGGTTTGGACGAGGATGAGGACGATGAGTTCTTGCCGAAGGAGATGGCTATTCGGGGCGCGGAGGGGGGTTTGTGGTCTGGCATTTTGGGCGGTCTAGTTGGCGGTTTAGGGGGGATGATGATGTTGGTGCTGATTCGAATGTCGAATCGCGAAATCTTTCGAGCAGGAGCTAGGCTTCGACGCGCTGCATGGGTACGTCACTTGCGGGAGAGTTGATGTATTACATAAGCCTCATTGGAGTGTGGTGTGGGCGCACGGTGCATTGACTGGGCCCCAGACAAATGTTCCCACACGTTACACCGCCGCCTAAGGAGCTTGGGCATGGATTGCCGTGGATGAGGGGCAGAAATGCCGAGGGGCACATCCCGAGGGGCACATCCCGAGGATACAAGGTCACGCAAGCAATTGGCGAACAAGTAACTCGGTTACATTATGGCCCCCTTTCTTCTGAAACCTATACGGTCTATATGTGGCCTCCCAACGTGTATGTGGTTTATGAATGGTTTTCCGTTTAACGCTTGTCGCTATATCTAAAAGGCGAAGACCTGGTCGGCCAGCTTGCTGACGGGGCGGGCCTTCTCGAAGCCGAGCGTGACGGCCGTCTTCTTGAGGCCGCTGATCATCGGGGGAGGACCACACAGCAGAAGCTTGACGTCAGGAGCCGCCGCGGGCAGCCATTTCTGTAGAATGTTAGCGTAAACAGCGCGCACCAGCGGGGGCACGAGCGCAACTCACGGTGATCATGTCGGCCGTAACGTAGCCAACGCCGCCGGTCCAGCCCTCGGGGGCCTTGTCGAGCACGTAGTGGACGCGGAAGCGCCCGGAGAAATGATGGTGAGTACCTCATTCAGAGCCCCCGAGCATGTCCTGCTGGGTGACGTTGGCAAAGATGAGGTCGACCTGGGTCGTGTCGCCGGCAGCGCGGCCGCGGATGATGGCGCGGACGACCTGGAGCATGGGCGTGATGCCGGTGCCGCCGGCAATCATGCCGAAGTGGCGCACCATGTTGGGCGTGTAGACGAAGGCGCCCTTGGGGCCCTTGACGCGGATGGGCTGGCCGACCTTGAGGGAGGCCATGTGCTTGGAGATGTTGCCCGTGGGGTACGACTTGATGAGAAGGTCGAAGTAGCCGGGCTGGTGGTCGCCCGAGATGGGGGTGTAGGAGCGGACAATCTCCTTGTGGGTGCCGTCGGGCTGCGCGAGGACCTCGCCGATCGAGATGTGCTGGCCGATGGGGAGGCCGAGGATCGAGGTGGGAGAGGGGAGCGAGAAGCGGTAGCTGGCAGGTCAGCACGAGATCATGGTCGTCAGAGGGGCCACGAGAACGTACATGGCGACATTGTGGGAGATGATGGTCTTCTCCTTGAGCTCAAACTCTTGGTATACATCGGGCTTGAGAACCTTCTTAATCTCTGCACAAGGCGTTAGAAGCAGTCTCGAGAATCGATGCCGGATATGGATGCTCCAACATACTCAGGCTGAAGAACTTCCAGCTGCCAAGAGCAAGCGCCACGAGAACGGTATAGGGGGTCCATTCGCGCTTGACGATGAGGGTGCCCACGATCATCAGGACGACGGGGATGTAAACCCCGTCGACAAACTTCTTCGAGCCCAGTGCGTCGGCCATGGTGCAGGTGAGGGCACGTGTGTGCTTGGTATGGCCTTGTTGGAGAGCGAGTGGGGGAGCGAATTGGTAGGGCAGAAGTGAAGCCGCAAAAGATGCGATCGTAAGATGCGACCAGGGTAGTGATGCCCAGACTACCTTACCTTAATTTGGCGCAGACGAGCAGTTGTGTTGAATTCTGCCGGTGGCTCTGCCGAGGCGGTCAGTCTAGCTTTGGGCTCGGCCGAGTCCGGAATCTCGGAATGCTCAGAACTCGCAGCACCTAGGAATGCCCCTCCATCTTACACTCTTACGTACACTCAAACGCACCAACTAATTCGGATTAAGCTTCTACTGAGAGGCGCAATGTCAACTTTGTCCTTAGTACGCGAAGCTGAAGGCTGATATCATTCCTGGCCAAAGCTACCTGGATCTGCTTCCCCTTGGCTTAATACGATCCAGCACTTCAACACATGGTCCAACACCCAAGTCCAACGATCGCCTTTGTGGTGACGCATTCCTTGATGTCCACGGCCCCTTCTCTGCCCAGATCTCTCGGCACGGGATGTTCGAATCATTGGAGCCAGCAACACCCATTTCAAGCACTATAGCACTTGGACACAGTATTCCCAGGGAACCATTTCCCACAATGGAAATTGGATTCAATCGCCGTAAATCTGCAGCCACTTCATCTCGTGCTTGCCACGCTTCCATATGAATGGTATTTGGCAATTGATTTGTCGATGCATCAACATGGTGCTCTTCCGAGAGGTCAGCTACTCGACTTCTGAACGAAGCATCTGATCACTGCTCCCACCCTCCCCATCGACATTCCTATGGAGGCCTGTACCTCGACAGATCCTGTCAATTTTGAAGCTGTAACAGTAACTTCGAAGCACTCTTTCAAGAAACCCCGTTGGACAGGACTTTTCCCGCTTCCTGGTCAAAGAATCTTTACCAACATGGCCCCGCCACGAAGGATTTGCAATCCTTGTCCAACGGCAGTGTGCGCGTGCTTGATGGAGGGCTTGGATCCCATGAGGACCGAATCATGGCCATTCAAATTCAGATCAAATGTTCGGAGCAACAGGGGAGACTAGTAGGCGTCAGGTCTTTCCAGGGAGTTGGAGGCTACGGAACTCCTGGTCAGCAGCCATGGGTTGGGCGCAACACATAAGCTGTTTCCCGAAACGTTGTAGAATGCCAGTATCCTTGAGCTACTTATTCAGAGAGGGCATTTTCAAGCCTCTCAGATTTTATAGGAGCACACGAGGACCGCCCAAGCCTGGAACCGAGTTGGCTGCATCTTTGAGCTCCTTAACCCGAGGCTCGGGTTCTTATTCATTTACGCGGGAAAAACCTGGGTGCAGGTTTTGTGAATCATTCCTTTTATAAGTTTTCAACTTGCCAGCTCCGCAACACTCCTGTTATGACCATCACGTCCTAACTGTAGCTCCTGTGGACCCCAGCCGCCATCAGCATATGGTTTGGCGTATCCTGGAGCCACGATAGCTTGGATTGTCTTGGGTGGGCGGCTCGCCTTGTTCGTTGATTGAAGTTTGCTTGCGTTTCCTCCGCAGCAAATATACAACTGCGATAGTAGTGCCGCAAATCAAAGCCAGGCCACCTAGAACACCACCAATGATTGGGCCTAGTTGTCTTGGAGTCACTTGACGAGGAAGACTCCCCAACTGGCGCTGAGGAGGCTTCTGTGCCACGTCTTGACGTTGCAGGTTCTGAATCCCGGGAGTTCTGTGCCTCTGTCAGAGGTCTTTCAACGGAATCTGTAATCGCGGTCGTCTGGGATGGAGTGGAAATAGAGTCTTCAGTAGCGGTTACAGAGGACTCGGTGCTCGAAGTCGTATCTTTCGTCGGGGTCGGGCTGATGAAATAGTGATCGGTCCCAGGCTGAGCGCCACAGGCAATGTATGAGTAGGTCTGATCGACGCCTACCGTGAGCACGGCTGTAGAGCAGAATTCCCTGATGCTATATATCGGTAACTGTCAGTCCACCAGGTAATTCCATCGATTGCCAATATACGAAATATTCGCAGTCCCATACAGAGACTAAGACGTACCAGGAGAAAGTCGTCAGATCAGGCCGGTCCGTAAGACCACATCCCGTGAAACAGTCATGATCATCGAAGCAGCTTCCGGCTAGCCCACAGTCGCTAGCCGTCAAGACTGTTGTCGGACAGAATCCCCAAAGACCATTTTGGACATCTATGCGACAATTGTATCCGGAGTTTGCGGTTCTCGGTCGGTCTGGATCTCCTTTGCCGTACCCGCAAGTTGAGAGTTCGGTCACCGTTGCCCTCTTCTGCAAAAGACGAGTTGCGTTGGCAACAGAAGCCGGATTTTCAGGAGGGGTGGCCGTCACAGCATTGATTTGGTGAAGAGGCTTAAAGCTTGAGCATCTTGCAACTAAGTTGAGAAACAAGAAAAGAAACACGACGCAATCCATCATTCGATTCATCGCTGGCGATAGCTCGAGGGTGGACCACAAGTTCAAGAACCATCTAAGATTTTCCGCAGCAGACAACACTCGTCAAAAGGAGGCGGGCTGTACCACGTCCCTGTTCGAAAGGAGGATATTTGATATCCACCCCTCATGCAGAAGGCGTTGGGTCTAGGTCCCTTGTAGTATCCTCGGCTCGCCACCTAGTATTCATCACCAACTGAGCCGTTAGAGCAACCACCGACACAAGATCAAGGGTCCTATGCGATCTAGGGAGCCCAAGCCGCGACAGCATCTTCACAATTTCTTTTACAAATGCAGTAGATGACATGTCCAGACAACATGGAGAGAGACAACGAGCTTTGGGGGCTTCACAAGAGAAGTCTGATAGATATAGGGACGATGTGTGAGAGTCAGTATTTTCCTCACCAGCCACCTGATGTTGTTGACCGTTGGCACTCAGTATGCAAGAGATAATAGCGCGATCCTTGGCACACTGCCTGTGGGCTGTTGAAAAATCTCGGCGTCAATCATAGAACTTGGATTGGCCAGATAAGAGGCGTTCCGTAGATTCGGTAAATCAAGCGCCAGGGTTGTGCTGCACCAGGATGGGCTCCGCACATCGCCATCAAACACACCTTCTCAGACAACTTTTCACGAAGTCTCTGGAGAGTGGCCACTGACTGAGGGATTCGTGGGCAAAATTTATCCGTGAAACTCTGTTGCACCTACTGTTTGTTTTGAATTGCGTCGATCTGGACGAAGACGGGTAATTCTGATCGTATGTCAAACGATTGATCTCGACGCCTGGGTCATGCTGGTGCTGCTGTTGCTGAAATCATCACAGCGTTGTCGTTGGCGCTAATTCTGCTGTCATTGTGCGGATGCAACCTCCACAGGCTGTCAGTTGGACGAGGCTGTGAGTTGTGCCCCCTGAACTTACCTAGGCCACCCAGCACCCAACGGCTGGCTGCCCATGGGGTCAAAATATGCGGAATTTCCAGACGCATCATGTCGTTTTTCTTCTACGTAGCAGCATAGCGCGTTGTTTGATCTTACTTTCCTTTCTTCACTCATTTCGGTCATGCCCCGGCGTCAAATCCATTCGTCGCCATGCACCGCGACCGCCGGTTCCTGCTCTTGATCGTGCCGGTGGTGATCTTTCTGTTGTTGGCAGCAAGCCTCTACCTCGGCAGTGATCACCTTACGCTCATCTCTGGCCTCCATGTTCCGTTTCTCAGTCACTGGCAGCCGGAAAGTTCACCTGAAAGCATCACGCCATCAGGTGTACCGGACAGTGATGACACATTCACGTCTCTCCCAGTACCGAGCAGCACGGCGCTGCCACCGGCCCGAGTAAAAAATGGTTCGTGGACTTGGCCTTGCTAATCATTTGTTTGAGAAGATGCAATCTGACAGTGCCACAGGAACGATTCTTGCAGCAGAGAAGATCCGACCCTACGTAGACTCCATTCTCGACCCCGAGTCGACGGCTCTGCCGCGCCTGGGGTGTCCCCGGGTGAATAGCACGCGGTACAATGTCTTGAGAAACGAGAGCGAAGCAAATGACAACCACATCGATTACTACTTCGCTTTAGACCTGCGCAACTGCCGCGATCTCCTGCCGCGACTTCTGGGTAGCATCGTCGAGGCAATGCGCTTCCTCGGACCAGACCGATGCGCCCTGTCGATCGTCGAAGGGCATTCTCCTGACGGAACGGCAGACGTGTTAGCGGCATTGGCACCTTTCCTGCGGCAAGACGGCTTCTCTTACCACTATCAGTCTTCGGACATCAATCCAGGGACAGGCTCAAGGATCCTGAAGCTCGCCAAACTGCGGAATCTGGGGCTGGAGCCTCTGCTGAACCATACCTATCGCACCTCGGCCAACACGACGGTTCTATTCATCAACGACGTGGCCGCCTGCGCTGAGGACCTCCTCGAACTGGCGCTTCAACGACGACGACTCGGCGCCGACATGACTTGCGCCATGGACTGGACATATGTCGGCCGCGATCCCACATTCTACGACGTCTGGGTCGCACGCGGCATCAATGGGGACTCTTTCTTTGACATCCCCCCCAACGGGAGTTGGGACTTCGCGTGGAACCTGTTCTGGAACCACCCGCAGACCAAGGCACGCCTGGATTCCAAGGTTCCTTTCCAGGCGTTTGTCTGCTGGAACGGCGCCACGGCCTTCACAGCTGCGCCTCTCCTCGACGGCCTGCGGTTCCGCAACGTTCACAAGGGGGAATGTGCTCAGGGCGAGCCGCAAATGTTCTGCAAGGACCTCTGGCACAGGGGCTTTGGCAAGATCGCCGTGGTGCCAGCCGTCAGTCAATCTGGAGTATTCAGACGAAAAGGCCGAGAAGCTGAAGAAGCTGAAGGGCTTCACGTCCGATCTCGTCAGACAACAGACGGAAGAGGACGCCAAGATTGAGTGGGCCGGGCCACCAGAGAAGGTGAAGTGCATGGAGGGTTGGCAGAACCAGTTTTGGCGGCCGTGGAACGAGACATTGAAGTGATAGACGGATGCATCATGTTTAAAAATCGATGGATGCAATGCCAAGTCGTGCGACAAGAAACCAAATCGCGCGCACCATATGCCGCGTGGTGAACATGATCTCCGATGGCGAGCCATGACTCCACGCGACCGAGACCGGCCCGGTCCAAGGACCGGAAAGGGGGGCCGGCGCTAGGACCGGAGGGGGATGAATCATACCTTTCCACGCCCTATGCAAACACACGATTGAGGGGTCGGAGGGGTCAGCGATATAAAGAGGCTTCGTAGAAGTCTCCTCTGCCTCACCTGGGCAATTTGATTTTCTCGCAAGAACCGGCATCTATTGTGCTTTCAGTCAGCCCAAGGTCGTTGCGCCTGGTCTAGTGTGTGCGCAGGAACTACCCACCCAATGGCGACAGAACTTCAAACCTTCCACAGCCCGAGGGAGGCCTCGGCTGGAGCCGATGTTGAGGAAGCCGAATCTCTCGTTCCGACTCTCCCGTCTTCCGACAGGGGAGCGCCGGCCTTGAAATTCCTCTTCGGAGCCTTCGTGATTGAGGCTTTGCTCTGGGGTGCGTTCCCCCTGGCTCGATTTGCTACAGCGGCCTTCTCCCATGTCTTTCTGTTTGGCTAATCCATCTCCTTGTCCGCAGGCTTCCCACTCTCATATGGTGTGTTCCAGGAGTATTATGCCAAACACCCAAACTTCGAGGATGAGCATGACAAGATCGCCGTCGTCGGTACCTTGGCGACTAGCATATACTTTTTGGGGGCACCCATCGTGACACCTCTCGTCAAGCGCTTCCAGCAGTGGCAGAGACACATGATCATTTGTGGCTTTCTCTGTTGCATTGCATCGCTCGTTGGCGCCTCCTTCGCTACCTCCGTGTCGGGTCTCATCGCCACCCAGGGCGTGTTGTACGGACTGGGCTTTACTCTTCTCTACTTCCCCGTCTTGCGCATGCTCAACGAATGGTTCATCACAAGGAGAGGCCTGGCCTACGGTGTCATGTTCGCTGGTGGTGGCTTCAGCGGCGTCGGCTTCCCGTTCCTCCTCCAAGTCCTTCTGGCCAAATACGGCTACCAAACCACGTTGCGGGCCGTGGCCGTGGGACTGTTCATCGCCGTGCTCCCAGTCCTCCCAGTGCTCAAGGGGCGCCTGCCAGTCTCGCATCACGGTGCTCTACGTGGGATTGATGTCAGCTTCTTCAAGCAGCCATTGTTCTACGTCTTTGCCTTCTCCAACGTCGTCCAGGGCCTGGGTTACTATATCCCAGGCTTGTACTTGCCGACCTACGCTTCGAGCATCGGACTCTCAGGAACAATGGGTGCGCTGATCCTGTCGGCCCATAACCTCGCAACCACATTTGGACAGGTCGCCATGGGCTACCTCTCGGACCGAGTCCACAATGTCCTCGGTCTTGTCTTCGTATCCACCTTCGTCTCGGCGCTGGCGAGCTTCCTCATCTGGGGCTTTGCCGCCAACCTTGGAACGCTGCTTGCCTTCGCCTTGGTGTATGGCTGGTTTGCAGGCAGCTTCGTCATCCTGTGGCCCAAGTTTGGATCGATCATGTCGGATGACCCAGGACCTGTCTACAGCATGATGGCTTTTGGAAAGGGCATTGGCAATATCCTGACGGGCCCGATCAGCGCGCCGCTGATGAGTGGGCCTGTCGAAGCCGGGTATGGACTGAACAAGTTTGAGCCGCTCATTCTGTACCTTGGATCCATGATGCTGCTATCTTCTCTGGGCATCGCAGGCTGGCCTGTTCGTGTACGGTAGGCAAGCTATACCTTGCTGACTTGTCGGGGTTGATAATATATGCTGCGAGGGCGTTGATCAGGAGCATGGAGATCGATTGCGAGCGTCCGGGCTTGTTGATATCCGACCGGAGAAGGGAGAATGCAGCAAAACGAGGGTGTGTTGGCAGAATTATAGAGAGACTCTAAACAAGCAAACATGTTGTACTTTGTGCCGCTTCTCTCCCTTCACAGAAGTCACAACCGTATTGTGGCCGTGACAGGACCTGGGTCAGGGTGATACCGCATCATTAGAACACCAGGGGCAGGAATGTATGATGTCCCTAAGGTGGTACCCTAGATGGTAAAATGTCAATTTCTAATACAATTGAACAAGAAAGCCCTGCGACCTGCCGTACATGGGCCGGAAGATGAAATGTCAGGGCACGTGATCAATCCGGGGGTTCCTGCTCACACTCACCCAAGTCAGGATCAAGTCAGAATCAGCAGTGAAAGACGCAACGAGGTTGCACCTGCCTAGCATGCCTGACCGCCCCTGCTTCGAGTGGTTTGCCAGCCGGGCAATTTGCTGCTGAATTGAGTTTCGTAGCCAAAGGGGCGAGCAAATCCAAGCCTCACACACACTCACCTCTTTTTCACCCACCCTTCGCTAAGGTACCTACATCTCGCGGACTCGCTCGACCAATCTCGGTACCAAGGCATCAATCAGATCAGGATAGACAGACAGGCAAACCAGGCGGTCGGCAACACCAACACCATCAGCACCAGCGCATGCGGCAGTGGCTTGTCGCACCCTTGGCAGCGCCATTGGGCGTGAGGGGGTGCGCCCACTCGACCGACCCCTGCGGAAGATCACTTGGATCACCACCACTCTGGCGACTTGCTTCGCCTGGAAAGCCCCCGAAAATCTCCCCGCCGACCAAGCGCAAACCGCTGCATGCTGCATTCCTACCCCCTCGATTGCTAATCCGTTACCTGTTCCTGAGTGTTTGTCGCTTCGCTGGTCTCATCCTGTCGCCCGGCCGACAAAAATAACCTCTGCTTTCGTGGACGGGAATTCACGCGGTCCTGAAAGCGCCGCGGACGTGAGCGGAGAGAACATCTATTCTAGTCCCGGCGACTCGTTCTCAACCCCAATCCAAGGGTCCTCTAAACGATGGGGTATCTCCCTCCTGGGAGTACTGGCACCGGCACCGGCACCGAGATGGTGTTCGCACGTGGACCATATCAGGGTGACAAGACGGGGCCAAACACGAGCGACCAGCAAAAAAGCAACCAGGGCGTGGCCTGTCCGTGCCGTTTCGTATCCGTATCGCAGCTGACTTGTCTCCCGATTTGCCCTTCAGCACAAGTCCCGAGGACTCGTCATCAGTAAAGCTTTACAAAATCTCCGCTTGAGAATAGCATCGACTGGAAACACAGCCCAGAGGGCGGGCGCTGCCAAGGGTCCCTCCTAACTGATGAGGGCAAGTGCCTGTACATACGACACCAACATTCCGAGCGGGCAGGGCTACAATCAACAACCCAGCAACGGTCGACAGACCATACCAAGCGCCGCCAGCTGCCCCTCCCACCTCCCTTCGACATCATCGGTGGATGTGATCGATCGCATCATCGGCCTGTGCTCCCCAAGTTCAGCAACAAGCCAGACCCGGCAGACAGCTGGCTGACAGGCCAAACACCACCCGAAAGCCCAAGAGGAAGCCCAAAGACGACCCCTCGCTAGAGCCAAGGAACGGCTCAGTCTTGTCTCATTGGCAACTGCACTCACTACTTGGTACGGCGCGCGCTGGTCTCAGCCAGGGAACCCCCGCCGCGCCGTGTTCCATTGGCTGCATGCAGACGGGGTCGAAAACAGGATGCCAATCCATAGCATCATCTCTGCATCAGACCAGGCTGCCAGCTTTCTCCCCCCAATTCCCATCCAAGCCCTTCAAGCCCGTACATGTACCATCTTTCGATCCCGGAATGCCCGTCCGCCACCCCTGGTCCTAGTACTGACTGTTAGCGTCTTGCTTGTCGTCTCCGTCTCCTCCTCGTCCTTCCCCGGTCCTGGTCCTAGTCCCTAGTCCTGATCCTGTCTGGTCTTGGTGTCACTGGCGGACTTTCCAAGCTTCCTCGAGACATTTCTGCTAGACCCTAGATAGACTTCCAAGCTCACACGCCATCGACGTCTTGGATGTGACCTTTCCTTCATCTTTGTGCTCAATCCTCCAGTACCCAGACCGCACCATCTTCCGCCTTACCGTGAACCTTACATCGTGCATCAACATCAGCCGCCCCCCTTTCTATGCCACTCAACTTCTATTAAGCGCTGACGGCCCACACCCCTTGCCTGTTGCTCTATTGTCATGGAGCGATGATTCATGGCCTGAGCCTTTTCCCTCGAGCTCATCGGCCATCTGGGCCTGACCAGGCCGAGATCACCATCTGCTGAGGCAGCAGTATCAATTCACCTCCAATCTTCACACGCCGTTTCCAGCCCATCTGGGATCGTCAACATGGAGTCCGTCGTCGCCAGCCGACCAAACCTCCCCGCTCTGCACACTGGCAGCCACGACCACCATAGCCACCATAGCCACCATGGCCACCATGGCCACCATGGCCACCATGGCCACGTCCGTAGCAACTCCGATTATTCGGGCTCCGCCCCGCCTGCTTTCGCGGCGAAGAAGCGCGGCAGCTTCCTGTCAAAGACCTTCAAGAGCTTCAGCAGCTTGTCGTCCCTCGAATTGACGGCCGAGGAGGCTCCATCGGGGTCACAGACACCCCCGCGTCGAGTTCTCACGAAGACCCCCACTCGCAGCTCCTCCATCTTCCATCGCATCAGTCGCCGACCCTCCAAAGACTCAACTACGAGCTCCCATACATCGGAAACGTCTGGCAAACTGGCAACAATGAAGGTTATCAGGCATGGCCCCCTCAAAACCGATGCCAAGCTCTGGAAGTCGCGCGCCGAGTATGTCGTGTTGACGGAGACGTGCCTGCTCAAGTTCAACAGCATAGACGCTGCGAGAGCAACATTCGTTGACTTTGGAGGCCAGACGAACAGGTTGAGCAGGGCGTCGACGACATCTTCTCTCGGACAAGACACAGCGTCCGCCGAGCCAAGCCTTCAGATTCCCTTGCGTCGCATCATCAACATTTTCAACGAGGAAGGCTCGAGTCCTCATTTTGGCCTCGATGTTTGGTGGTCGGAAGCACCACCCGCGGTCTCCTGGGCGAACAACAAACTGTTTTTCGGAATGCCCCAAGAAAGGAACGAATGGATGGCTGAAATACGCCAGGCCATCAGGGAATTCGTGGGCAGGTCCTCGGTGCCCGGCGGCATCGTGGCGGCCAATGTCGAGGCAAGGATATACAACCTCGTAGCGGCCGAAGAGCCCATGTGCCAGGGCTATCCTCTGGATATATTTCCTGTGGTCCAGAGGACCTTCCACCTCGAGCCAAGGCTGGTGACTCTGACGCTGCGAAGAAGCTGCGTGATGCGTCCTCGTACTATCTCTTGCTAGGTCTGAACAAGTGCTACCTGGTTCGCGTTTCCAAAACTTCAGCATACAAAGCCCCGCAAGACCTGGAGATCAACACGGTGGTGTTTGGCATCACATCACTCGTGCGTCTCAAGGCAACCATGGTTCCCCACGAGGAACGCTTCGTGTTGGGGTTTAGGTAAGTGAACGGAACACTGCACCACGGCACCCACAGTACTGACAGGTCAAGGATGCCTTGCGAACCGGAAAAGCGCTTGGAGCTCGCCAGTCGCTGGTACCGGGAGATTGTCATGACCTTCATGAAGGCCGATCGAGCAGTCAAACCAGCCTGGCCTCAACACTTACAGAATGACATCTTTGAGATCAAGGGCCTGACGGCGCAGCTTCATCTACCCGCTGGCCAGGATTTCGGCGGCCTGAAGAGGACGCTCGAGGCCTACTGCGCGACTTACGGATGCCAAGTTCCGGATTGGACAGCAAACTGGAAATGTGAAAGGCGAGAAAACAGCCCTGAGTTCCGCCTGCTTCCTTCACGCTCTCCGGAGGGATACTCGGCCTTCCAGCTCCTAGCCGTATTCAGAGCGCTCCGGTACAACGATTACTTCAGGTCGCTGTCGTTCAGAGACGTAGACTTTAGTCCCATGTGTGGACGATACGACCTGGTCCACTACGATGACTCCATCGCTGATGTTTCTCGCAATGGTAAGTGCCCAAGAAATCTCGCCTCCGTTGTCAATCTGACGCCCCTCTAGGCTACGTAATCGATAGTGTTCATCGAGAGATCCTGCGAAGCTCACCGATGCTCTTCCAGGAGCTTCACGCTGTTGCGTTCACCTCCGGTTCCATCAGGAGCATCGATCTGACGAATGTTCTCGCCCCGCGACGCATTGCCTCGGCGAGCCCCCGAGCTCGATCTCTGCCGTCGTCCGGTCCGAACGAGCTGCCCGAAGTGGCGCGACCAATTCTGTTACTACTCAGAACCCAGAATATCACCCTCGATACCCTCATCCTTAGTGGCAACCCCCTAACCCAGGGCGAAGTAGACGAGCTGGGTATGTTCTTTGCACCAAGTTCTTTGCACCAGGGATTCAAGTGAAAGGTATTATCTGACGCACATTATAGTGACAGTCCTCAACATGCCCGACACTTTCAGACACCTCGATATCTCCCGATGCAGCCTTGACGAACGCAGTCTTGAAGAGATATGGGACGCGCTCCCGGAACAAAGCTACAAGATGGAAGTCCTGGACACATCACACAATTTTGGGAACGTCGACCACGTCCTCATCCGGAACAGCCTGTGCCACTTCGTTCGCCTCCGCAAGCTGAGCATCGCCGGCAATTGCATGAGTCAGTTTACGGACTTTTTGTTCTATGATGAAACCATAATGCGCTGGCAGCTTGAGGAACTTGACCTTTCGGACATCAAGGTTTGTTCTGTATCTGCATTAGCGAAGTTCTATTCTGACAAACCGATAGCTGAGCGACGAGACCACGATGATCCTTGCTGCATATCTGGGGATGCCAGAGTCAAATTGGCTGAGGAGGCTTGATCTCAATAACTGCGGGCTGAGTGGCTCTATGGCGGCCACGCTTTTTAGGAGCATGGGTCAAGGCCGCGAACTTACTTGCGCCATCAGTGGCAACCACCTGGAAGACGGTGGCGACGACCTTGCCAATGCTATCGGCTGCAACTTTGGTCCTCGGATGCTATTCGTCGACATGGTGGAGTATCGTGAGGAGACCAACTTCATCAAGCTCATCCGTGCCCTAGCCGTCAACAACACGATCAACCTCCTCAGCCTTGTCGGTACCTCGACAGCCGGGCAGGTCAGCGAGGAGGCCTGCGCCGCCGTGTCCGACTTCTTTGCAACCAACACGTCCGTCTGCTTTCTTGACTTGTCCGGCTTTTCTGCCAAACTCGACGAAGGCCAGCTTGGCCTCGGCTTCTCTCGCTCCCTTGCTGGCTTGGCGCAGAATACAACCATTCACCACCTCCGCATCCGCAATCAGAAGCTTAATGTGAACATCGGCGACCTTGCATCCGCAATCGCCCGCAACGTCACGTTGATGACCCTCGATGTCCAGGACAACGGTTTCAACCTCTCAAACTTGACACACATGGCTCGCAGTCTGGAGGAGAACAAGTCGATCCAAGAGTTCCGTCCCTTTTCTGAGGCCGAGCTCAACCGCACCATCAACAGCTCAATGCAAAAGGTTATCCTGCCCTCGCACCAACCCGAGCACCACCGCCGCCGGTCTTCCAAGGCAGCCGCTGCCGCCCGCGCAGCCGACACGCTTGCCGAGGATGCCAGCAAAGCTCTCGTCCAGGAACTCCGCGGCCAGTGGACTGTAAAGATGAAACAAATCGAGTCCATTGTCGAACGCAACCGCTCACAAGTCACTCTTGAGCAGACCGGACGCACAATGTCTGGACACGATTCTGACACTTTTGCGGAGGACCTTGTCGCATTGTTCGGCGGCCTAGCCACCATCAAGCGAGAGAGGAAGTCTGCTGCGGCGGGCGTCGGGCCGCCAACGCCACCTCTGGATGCCATGCCCGGAGAAGAGTACACCATAGGCACAGCGCCACATCACGTCACGAGGGACGAGGTCCTCGAGAGTCCAGCATCGGACACCCCCGGGGGAGGCTCGTCAGGGTTGCCGACCCCGCCAGAGTGGGCCACAGCCGAGGAACCCATCCAGGAGGTGACGGGGTGTGCGGAGGCGCTCGAGACTTTCGGGATCAGCGAGAAGAGAGCGGGGCAGTGATGCCAGCCTTTTTGCTCGACAGTGAACACGCAGCGGATAATGACAAGACGATCTGATCGGCTAGAAGACGAAGACGTAAATGAAAGATGACGACGCGAGGTACGGTGGAGTTTGGGATTCTGAATGTCCATATTGTGGTTTTCTTGGGATGATGGAGTACAGCAAATCGATACCCTTTATTTGAATATAGAATGCATTTCTCGAGACGCTGCCAACATGTTTTGAGAAAAGAGACACAAAAAGGGCTGGGTTGAGCGCATGGCGGACGACTCGTTTGCAGCTCGTCAATCTTCCTGGGGGAGGTCCATAAGCTGCTCCCCAAGCTGCTCTACCTCCTTACTGGATCAGATCGATGCCTTGATGCCGAACTGATACAACGGAACACGGCGAAGCGGCGCTTGGTTTACGCGAGTTGTACTCTGCCTGTCCAGGCCGCAGCTCTCGCTAAAGGAATGGTCGTTGCATTATGAGACCGGGGGTATATAATAGTACGATGTCGCGTCTGATGGCCATAAAAAGGGGGCCTGGAAATAGACGCACGCGCGCGCGCTGTTTCTCCAACTAACTGACCACCATTACGCAAAGAAAAAGTAAAGTTTCCAACCGTATTCAACATGCCGAGAGCCGAGGAGAAGAGCCTTTCTAAACCGACGTTGCCGCACGCTCAACCTGCGGCATCGCCGGCACGTCGTTAGCCTCCTCGGGGATGTCATTCGTCGTCTTTCCTACGACTCGCTTCTCCAACCGGCCGTCCTTGTCGTCGACAGATCGCCGACTACCGATGCTCTTTCGCGTATCGACGCTTCGTCTTTCTGAACTGGCCCATGCAGCAGCATCGACGCCCTGCTTTGGCTTATCCTCGTCCTTGCGAAGCTTGCGCTCCGTGCCGACGACGGTGCTGACGTCGTCGCCGCGTCTCACGGCAGCGAGTGCCCGCTCCGCCGTGTCGACGCTTTGGAACGCCGCGTTCAGGCCGCGCTTCTTCTTCGCGCCGGCCCACCCACGAACACCGCCGCGATGCTTCTCGACCTGTTCTAACGCCTCCCACAGTTCACGCATAATGCGCCAGCCTTGAAGGACTTCGTTCTCGAGCTCCTTCTTGTCGGCGCCGAGCTTTTGAGCCTCTCGCTGGCCCTGGATGATCCGAGCGCGGCGTATGACCCTGTCAGGCTGTTTGTCGCGACCCGCTTGCTTGACAACGCCTTTGAGGGTGTACCCGACCGGACCGGCGATGGCAGAGAGATACTTGAGTACCAGGCCACCGACACCCATGCCAGTTCCTTTAACAAAGCCGACGACGCCGTCCTTCTTCGCCCCGCGTACAGGAAGCAGCACGACACCGGTGGTGCCGTCCCAGATTCCGTAGACGAATTCTGAGCCAGCTGCTTTTAAGCCTGAGCGCATGCCTGTGACGCGCGTTGGCCGTCGGACGGTATCGTCACCGTAGAGGCGCGGGGCGTTGTGGAAACCCTGCGCAATGGCCATCGAGAGGTCAACCGGTGCTTTGGCAAGGGCTTTGCCAGACTTTTCTAATCCACTGCCAATGTCTCCAGCGTACTCTTCGACGGGATTCTCCATCGTGGACGCAGTCTCGGCCGAGCTCATGGTGTTTGTCGTATCTCGTCCTTGGGCGGAGGGGCGTTTCGGCGTCTCCTTTGCTTCTGGGGTTTGGCCATTCGTCTCGTGCGGGTGTGCGTTTTGATCAGTGATTCCATTAGGCATCTGCTCCTGTAATTCCCTGTCGACCTTTGCCTCGGTTTCTGTACGTTCTGACTTGTCGCCTTCTGTCGCTATTGCAGGGCTTTCCGGTTGGGCCGCGTTGGGTGGTGTCTTTTCCTCGGTCTCAAAGTCCGTCACTTCTGTACCCTTGGGCCCCTCGACTTTGGCTGTGGCGTGGTTCTGCAGCTTCTCGTCGGCCGCCGCGGCTTTGCGATTTCGTCTCGTCTCGCGCATGGCCCTGAGCTTCTCTCTCTTCTTCTTCTTTTCGCTCCGCTTGTGCGACGTCTTGGCAATGCGATAAGGAACGCTTCCAACGCCGCCGAAGAGATTGCCAACACTGGTCACGATTGAGCTGGCCATTCCGGTCACCGGTTCACCTGGTCCCTCAAAGTCATTCCATTCCATGTGTCGGATGAGCCTCAACTTCCTCCAGGACACCTGGCCACTCTCGACAACCATATCGGCGGCCAAAGCACTCAGCTTGACATCACTATTCTTCAACTTCCACACAGCCACTCGCTCGGGGAGGATAGAGCATCGCATCGAATCGACGCCGGAAAGGTTGAGGTGATGGTGAAAAGATCGCACCGCGTTGGCGGCACCGTCGCCTTCCAGCTCGATGTCTCTGGCGATCTCCCCCACCTTGGCGCGTGCTTCGTCCGTCAGACAATACTTGATGCCTTCCGCTAGCTTCTCCGCAGAGAGGCTTTTGTAGGGAACAGGATCAGGTCCAGCGCCGGAGCTTCCCAGCATGCTCCCCCAGAAATGCTGGTCGCCAAAGAATGGCACGACCATGGTTGGTTTGCCGCACTTGAGAGCCATCGCAGTGGTGCCAGCACCACCGTGAATGACGCATGCCTGTACTCGGGGAAACAGCCAGTCGTGTGGCGTGTTCTCGAGCATGTAAACGTTCTCGGGCACGTCGTCACCACCTAATCCACCCCAGCCCTTCGATAACAACACCCTGACACCAGCCAGCTTAACAGCTTCGAAGATCATTTGGGTAAATTTGTCGGGATCGTCGACTACAATTGAGCCAAATCCGATGTAAATGGGCGTATCACCTCCCGCAAGAAACTCCTCTAGGTCGCTTGGAGGGGTGAATGTGGACGCAAGGTCAAGAAAGACGAACCCAGAAACGTCAATCTCGTCGCCCCAATCCTTTGGTTTGGGTACTAGGCCGGGACTCCAGAGATAGGTGAAAGGAACATGCAGGCGATAAGAAGCACCTGGCGCCCAAAGCGTCGAGACAGGGTCGAGGTTCAGCGTTTTGGTGCGGAAATCGTTGACGAGATCGCCCAGACCCTGCCAGACCATCATCTCGACCAAAGGGTACGAGATGAAGTTTGTGTAGCCAGGATCAACATTTGATCTTTTGATGCTGGCCAGCGGATGCGGGAAGGCTTGTGTCGGAGTATAGGGAAAGGTAAACATAAGATGAAGAGGGATACCGAGCGCTTCTGCGCAATGGACGTGGGCGAAGCTGGGCGGATTGGCAATAATGGCATCCGCAACGAAGGGATCCTTTGCCCCCATCATTTTCAGGTTGTGAACGTCCTTTTCGTCATCGGTAGCGTTGATGCAAGCTCTCCAGAAACCTTCAAACATCTCCGCCATGGCAGCTCGTCTCTTGCCAATGTCACCGGCTTTTACTGCCTCAAGTGTGGGGATCATGCCAGGGTTCTTGACCATGAAGGCCATGAGCTCTGACGGGTCGCCTCCTACCGAGAAGAACTCCAGGCCTGAATCCTTCTCAACAAACTCTCGGAAGGCAGGGTGTGTTGCAATTCGAACTCGGTGGCCGTGCTCTTTGAGCACCTTGCCAATCTTGAGGAACGGCTGCGCATCTCCGCGAGATCCAATAACCATGATGACAATGTTGAGATTCGGCCGGCGGCCGAGGGTTTCCGTTATAGTTGAAGCGGAAGAGGGTGGAGCAGTCGAATGCCTGTCAACTGCTTCCTCCTCGGATTCGGTCTTGTCTTTCGGGTCCACGATCTTCTTAGCAGCATGACCCAGAGCTTTTGCGAGATATCCAGTGTTCGCTGTCTCCTTGACCGAAATCCGCAGGCGTCCATCTTTCTTGACTTTGCCCTTCGTCTTGTAGTTGTCGTTGCCGACATGGAAACGGCGATATTGATCAATCTCACGCCTACGCTGGTCTCTCCTGGCTTGTGCGTGCTCCAGATGTGGTTGTGCATCACCAGGCGTCTCGTCTTCATCCTCGGACGATGACGAGCTGGAATTGGAAGAGTCCGAGTCATCGGCATGGTTCCATTGTTGACCATTGCTCATCTTCGCCTTGGGGATATAGGAGGTGCCTGCCCTTCGCGGGGCCCTTCGAGAACTGAAGGCTCGAGCTGCACCTGTTCCGGTGCGCCTGGGGAGATCGGTGCGCCACTTCTTGTCGACGCTGGGTCGGACAGGAGCGGCCGATGGATCGGCTTGTGTAGACACCTTGACTGCTGTAGCCGCCGAAGGTTCTGAGGTGGTGGGTTTTGCTTGATTGTTGGGTGACGCTGTTTCGGGGTTCAGGGAAAGGGTATCGGAATTAGGACGTGGCGACGATGCTGAGATGGGAGACTGAACCGCCTCGGGAAAGACACCAGGGTAGATGATTCGGTCGGCCTCATCTTTGAAGACGTTGTGCGGGTGTCCATTCTGTATGATCTTCTCGACCCGCAGAAACTCGTCCTCTTGGTCGTGGCCTGATCCATTTTGAACCTTGTTCTTCTCTTGTGGCCCAGGAGAACTGCCCTTTGTATCTGCGATCGGAGGTGCCCACGGCATGATGATGGTCGGCCCTGTTGCTGTAATCGTTTCTTGTTTCTTTCAAGCTGCGAGGGTCGTGTGTATAACGTTGCCACGAGGGACAGGTAAAATATTTGCTATCCGATGCTTGCTGGTGTAGTACCTAATCAATGCTGTCGCGTGCGGGACGTTGTCACCGATTCATGTTGTCACCAGTGCCAGGCTCTTTCGTGAAGGCTATAATAGTCAGAGGAGCGACAGGACCAACACGCAAGGCGTAGAGTAGATGGGTCGGCTCTAATATCACAGGGACACTGGTGAGGGCAGGTGGAATGGCGTTGATTGGGGTCGCGGCTTCCGACGCGGGCGAGAGCAGGACCTGGCCTTGCCTCGCGTTGGCGTAAAGCAAGCTTGCACTGAAAATATGCCAAACCCCAGCCCATGACATCACTACCCGAGCTGCGGCTGCGCTAGCGAAAGGTGATCCCCTGCCATCTGTGCTCTGGAATGTGCTCCTACTGGCCACGGTCTCTGTGGCTTGGGCATGTGCTCCTGGCGTTGCCGGAGGGAATGGCCCGGGCGGCGGATGTTATCCTGCTGGGTCCGCCAACTGCTGCTGGACTGATTCGTTCTCCGGGCACGTAGGGCAGAGCACCCTCCCCCACCTTTAGCGTTCAGTGTGAGCAAGTACCGTGATGGGGATTTTGCTTCCAGCACTGCAACGTTGTGCTGTTCATCCGCCGAGGCGCGGAGCGTCCCTGAAGCCACGTCAAGCCATCCCTCACTGGCTCAGTTGAACACATTCGCGGCCTGTCGCCTCCCCCAGTGTGATCTTTCCGCACAGCCACATTTGAGGATTCATCACCAGGGTCTGGGGCGTCTGGGGGCGCCATCTCATCTTCACACCGATCCGATGCCCCACCTCAATCACCAGGTCTTACTTGTGCACTTGACTGCTGCATCCGACATCATCGCAAACGCAAGCCAAGCGTCTTGGTCAAAAGTGCTATCTAAAGTCACAAGGCGGTTCCACTCGATGGGCGACCGATCTTGCCGGAGCTTACGACCCTTCCCCAGACGCCACATGTCATTGCCGGAAATTACACCGTTTCGACTACTTTAGCCATGGCCCTGCTTAGCCGTGGCCCTTTCCAATAAGCCCGTCAGTACTCTAGCGTACTACGCTGGAGTATCGCACCGAAGAACCAATAGGTGCTCAATTCCTCCTGCTTCTGGGTCTGGACTGTCTCCGATTAGGCCTGCTGCGGCGGACTGCAGTGAAGGCCGCAGTCGCGCCACAACGCGTCACGGCCAATCTCCTACAAGAGTTCAGTCACATCATGGGATACAGTCACTCGCGAATCAAGATTTTCCCGTGGCCGGCCTACCACATTCAATCCTCATGCATTTCATTGCTACACCAGTAGTACCATGTCGCGAGCCGTGTGATGACCCGCTTGCTTCCAAAACAAGATCCAGATGCCGTTGCCCAACTCGCGCGATACATCGCTGCCAAACCCCACCCGTCTCGGTCATACATACCCAGTGCAGCCAACCCCTTTCCCTTCTGCCGTCCCACCCGCCTTGGCCGGATCGGCCAACCGCAGCCGCTGCTGCCAGTCAATGTCAAATGTGCCATCAATCGTGAAAATCATGAGCCCGATTGTCGCGTGAACGACTCTGGCTTGGCCACACCGAAGCTGCCACATGCCGGGAGGCATTGGTGTCAGATGGTGGCGATCTGCTTGGCGACGTGCTGTAAGTCGATACGCCTCTGAGTCCGCGGCGAACCATACCACAGCCTTACGACAGTGAAAGTCCCTCTAGGTTGAGGCTGAGGACGTCTAGCTGCATCACAGCCTCGTTGCCTAGCCCCTGGTCATCAATCTCGCCTTTGTCGATAGCCTCACGAAGCTTCTTGGCAGTCTGCAACAACGGCTCGACGTAGCGCTGCTCAATGGCAGCGCCCATGCCAGCGGGAATGAGATGCTTGAAATCCTGTCCTTTGAACAAAAAGTATAAAAAGTTGGCCACCTGGAGGTGATAGGGGTGGTTTTGCGCCCAGAAATCCCACTGCGAGACGACGTCCTGTTCCTTGAGTTGCGCCAGGCTGGGAAACAACAGGTACTGAAGAGTGTCTAGCGCTTCAGGCCCTGAGAAGGCGTTTGTTGCTCTCGTCTTGTGAGCGATTAGGATTTCTTCCCTGAGCCACGAGACCGCCGATGCCTGCAAAGCCGAGAAGATGCAGTTCTCGAGGAGATCCTCGAGTATCTTGAGTCGTCCTTCGTCGTCTGGATCGGCGTGCAACACGAGGCCCGCCAGCGTGTTTGCTACGTTGCGAGAGTTTAACGACGGGTGGAAGGCGGCGATGATGGTGAGGAGATGGTGGTAGGGCATAAAGTCGGCCGGCGTTGCCCCTTGCCCGGAGACGCGTTTGGCGTTGTCGAGCCAGAGGCCCATGACGAGGAGCGCTTCGGCAGTGCCCTGATTGCTGCTGATCTGCTCCTGGGGTTCGTCGCCGACGAAGCGCTTGAGTAGCTTGTGGTGATCTGGCAGCATGGTCATCTGGATCTGGTCGTGGTTCGTTTCAAAGACCTCCGACGAGAAGAGCCAGTAGGCTACGAGGCACCACACGCCTCCTGTGGAGAGCTTGACCTTGCTTGGACTGTCCAGATCATCCAGGTCGGCGGCCAAAGGATTGGCGATCAGAGGTTCCTCGAAGACTGCTTCGAGCGAAAGAGACTGGATTCCCGTGAGGCCCAGGTCTCTGGCGACACCCTAAGAAGTGGTCAGCAGGAGATTTCGAAGAGTTGGGTGTTACCCTTACTGCGAGCTGTCCGATCAAAGCGTCACGTTGCAACAATTCTTCGGTCTCCTTGAAGGCTTTCATGATGCTCTTCCTGGCGACAATCCTCTCCGGGTTGTAATACTCCAGAAGTCTGGACGCCCATTCTAAATTATTGCTGTTGACGTACGCCTCAATGATGGTGATTATGAATGATTGGAGAAGCCTCTTCACCAGGTCAGGCTCGGATGGTGCAGTCTCGTCCACCTTCTCAGCCTCTGGATCGGGCGCGTTCTTGCTCGCGTCAGACTTCCCAAAGGTGGTGTCGAGTGCGGTGCTGGACTTGCGCGTAGGGAGCGGCGGTCGCTTCTCTGCAGTCTGGGAGCGGACAAAGGTGATGATAGCAGCCGTGGCCTCTGGGCTGTCGGGTCGGTAGGCACGATAGATGGCTTGCAGCGTCGAGTGCAAGAAGCGCGAGGGGTATTTGACCGACAATCGCTTGTGGAGGATCCCGAGCATGCCCAGGAGGGTCACAAACTTGTTTGCTGAGGTCCTGTCACTAGGATCATCTCCATCGCCACTGAGATCGCCCAGGACCTCGAGTATCTTGATGATGACCTCGCGCGGGTTGCCCAGTTGCGCAACCGTCTGCAGGCACTGTTCGCTTCCTTCCACAGCTATCAACATCTCGACCAAGTCCCAGCCAATCTCTTGTGTGAGTTTGGCATCTTGGAGAATCTCGTATAGTGTTGGGAGGACTTCGGGAGAGATGACCTCGCCGATGATTGTGAGGTATGTGAATGGATCGGTTGCCAGGGGCTTGGACTCTTTCAGGGCGTCGATGGGATTCTTGTCGGATGCCATTGTTGAGATGGATCAGCTCATCGGTTTGCAATCGGAGGTTAATCGCAGTTCGGTCGGTGTCAGCATGCACAGTGGGATTCCTAACGAGCGAGGTACTGAGAACGGGCAGGGTTCTATTGCGAGAAGGCTACCGAAACCTGGGCGCGTGAACGAGGGGAGGGGAGTTTCGTCATAGTACTCTCCGCCCACCCCCCGTTGAGAGCCCCGCCCCGCCGTTTAGATGCGGCACAGCTCAAGGTCTAGAACTTGAGTTCCCCGCACTAGCAATTAAAGGGTCGCACGCCCCCGTACTAGCTTTCCCCTTCGCTAAGTAGATATCTTATCGATAAGGCCAAATGACCTTATCAATTTGGTCTCAGATGTTGGGCCATCTCGTGACAATCCCAGCTTGAACTTGACCTGGTCATTGTCCTTGTTTCGTTGCTCACTGACTGCTGATCATGATCACAAAGCAAAAAAGCAAATAGTGTAGTGCACACAAGTCATGAACTAATTCCGGGCGCGCTTGGAATCCGGCGATCCAAATCCAACGAACCGGATTCGGAGGATCTTGCTGCTGAAAGACTTTCAGTTCTTCGAGTCATCAAAACGCTTGACTGGTCATGGCTGGCCATCAAAGCTGAACAAGCATAGGCAACAGACCAGTCTAAGGCGCGCATCGTCAGACTCTTTCAGCTTTATGGCGATGTAGAGACGTCCGCGGCGCGTCGGCAGCCTTCGGCAAGGCCGAGGACATCAAGCAAGGCTCTCGTCTTCGTCCCAACGGCGCATTCTTCATGCACATTACCCCTGAAATCCGCCTCATCGGACACCGTTAGCAGCTGGTGGCAGCTGAGACATCTAATCATCCCTGGGACTCGCGATGAAGATATCACATCGATCCCCCCCAATAAGAACATTCTTTTGGACCCTGCCTCAGCGTCGAGGGGTTCAGCCACAGGCAATTTCGCGTACCAACTACCAGGTAAGCTGAGAAACCCGGCTCCTCACACGGGGTAGGCGAGCTGCTGGTCGTCAGGCGTCACCGACCAATGAATCCTTCTCGATGCCCGACGAGGCACGGGTAACGGTGTGCAGTAGCGCCTTGGTGGGTGCGACATAGCCCTCCCAGGCCTCCCTTGTAGCCACCGCAGGCGAAAAGAACAGCTTTGCCACTTTGCGTGAACCAGGAAATCGGGAGAGGGGCGTCGATTTTCGGGCGACAGGTCGGGTAGCGAGCGAACATGGTCAACGCCAGACACGAACATGCGACGTCAGTGCCCTCCATTGAGTAAGGAGCAGACGAGTCGTCCGAGACCCCAAGACTCAAAGCAACCCCAGGCTTCAACGAGAACGTTCCAGATTAGCTTCTCGCCGGGTCGTGTCACGGGCGACGTGGGTCGATTGACATCAGCAGCGAGAATAACCACCCCCTCCCCCCCGACCTGTCGTGTAAGCTCATCAGCTACAGACCAGTGCCAAGGTGTTTATTTGAAGCTGTGGCCGGCCGTCGGAAACGTTGACCGGGAACCTGGATTATTAGAAGAGGCTTGAAATGGCGCGGGCAATCCACTTAATCTCCAATACAACCCCAGCAATCCGCCAAAAGCTGAAGTAGAGGCCTCCCTCTATCTTTGTTGCATCCAGCGTATCATCGCAAGCTTGGTCCTCTGAAGTTTTATTCGATCAGACGGAAGATATTACTTATAGCACACGGTCTGCAGCCCCCATTCTCGGGTCCGCAAGGTGCATGACCTCAACGCCACGCCATGGTCGATTCAACCACTCCAGCTCATGAGGTGCCCGCGAGGCCTAGTGGGTTAAAGGTCGGGAAACCAAACTACATCATATTCATGCCTGACCAGCTCCGTTACGATTCTCTAGGCTGCAGTGGGAACAAGGTACGTTGGGTGACACGCTTCGTCTGGCCTGAGCTCACATCCGCACGACAAAGTACGTCAAAACGCCCAACATTGACAAATTCGCCGCCGAAGGGACGCGATTTACAAACTGCTTCGTGCAAGCTTCGGTTTGTGCCCAGTCGCGGTGCAGCATCTTCACTGGCAACTACAGCCACGTTGCCGGCCACCGCTCGCTTGAGAATCTCATCAAGCCCTGGGAACCCAACCTGTTCAGGTCGCTCAAAGAGCGAGGCGGCTACCACGTAGCTTGCCTAGCGCCACGCGGAGATATGTTTGCGCCAACAGTCACCGAGCTCTCTGTCGACGAGTATGGCTTTCTCGAGACGCCAGAGTTCACGTCGCGCTGGGGCTCGTTCAAGGACGATGACGGCAACAAAGAAGACATCTTCAAGCGGCTCTTCTACCGCGGTCTCCGGGATGCGAAGGAAGCAGAAGACTATGACGACGCCGTTGTGCGTTCTGCGCTCAAGTGGCTGGAAAGGCCTCCCGAAGGCCCCTGGTTGCTGTTCATGCCGTTGATGTTCCCCCATTTGCCGTTCATGGTGGAGGAACCGTACTTTTCCATGTACGATCGCAGTGAGATGCCGCCACCCAGCAGCCCCGAGGATAAGGTCAGTATCGCGGCAGCAGCCTTGTCGCCATTGCTAATAGACCTTCCAGACTGGCCACGAGCCACAGTACATGAAGATCATCCGTGAAAAGTACGGAACAAGTCGCGCTACGCCCGAGATTTGGGCTGAGATCAAGGCGACCTACTACGGCATGATATCTCGTCTTGACGACCAATTTGGCAAATTAATGGAAAAGACGAAAGCTCTTGGCCACTGGGACAAGACGATAACCATGTTTTTCACAGACCATGGCGAGTACCTCGGCGACCATGGACTTGTGGAGAAGTGGCCCTCGGGCGTGTCCGACAGCCTCACACATGAGCCCTTGATTGTCGGGGGCTGTGGTCTGCCGAGTGGCGTCGTGTATGAGGGCATGACGGAGATGGTCGACCTGATGCCAACGTTGTTCCAATTCAGCGGGATACCAGAGCACTTTCCACATTGTGGGCGATCCATGGCGGAAATTCTCACCTCCGCAGCCAGAAGCGGCGGTGACGGTGACGGCGAATCGTCTGCAGAACATAGGAAGTACGCTTTCTCGGAAGGGGGCTTCCTCTCCAGTGAGGAACCTCTTCTGGAGCAGGCTGGCTACCCCTACGACATTAAAGCGGCACTCCAACACGACGACACGGAAGTAGTGGGAAGGGCCGTAGCTTGTCGGGACAGGAAATGGACATACGTCTATCGGCTGTATGAGTCACCCGAGCTGTACGATCGAGAGAGGGATGTGGGCGAGCTCCACAACCTGGCGGAGGAAGCTGAGTATGTCGAGGTGAGGCGAAAGATGGAGGCGGTCATTCTGCGGTGGATGATGAGCACCAGTGACTTTGTGCCGTGGAAGAAAGACCCCAGGTTTCCAGAAGTGCTCGCAGGGAAAACGCCGAGAGAGCAGTGGGAAGCGAGAACTGCGCGGTAAGATGATGTGCTCACCTTCCTCACCTTGCCTCATTAGGTGCGTAGGTCGATAGATGAAGCATCTCAACTGGAGGTCAACACGGGGGAGTTGCCCCACATCGGGCGAACCTCAAGGGCCGGCCCCCAGGAGTGATCGGCCTCTGTACTCCGGCGTCCTGTGTCCTGCGCCGGGCGATTAAGGCCTTGTGGCATTTATCAGGAAAAAGAGAGACATAGACAGACAACATTGGCGCAGATCACCTGCTGCATCAACCAAAAACATTGGTCATTTGTTACTTTGCCCGCTGGAGGGACAGAGCGATCAGGCCCCTCCCCCACAACATTTGAGGATCTGATGGAACAAATGTGATACACGCACGACCCCAAACACGGATCCGGGTTCAAGCGTCTTGGCCCCGGCTGCAAGGCCCAGAATACAGTGCTCCGAATTTAGTACACGTTGGGCACGCACAGCTGACTGTCGCTTCGTCAAACACAGTCGTGGCCAAGGATGGACGATTGAACCATGATGAACCCCTGAACCATGGCCTTGGCATCTGAGAGCTTCAAACGTTTTCTGGGCCAAGGGCCCATTCAGGAGCTTCCCAAGCGGAACCTTGAGCTCCTCCGTGCTTGAAGATATAGGCCCATAGTCCAGTCGTTTCTGGGATTCGGGGCTGTACTTCTATCCCATCTATCTTTTTGCCATCACCGGTCAGACCACATCACCTCAACATGAAGTCCCACTTGCTGTTCCCTTTCTACATTATTACCTCCCAAGCAGTGCGAGAGTCGATATCGAACAAACCTGATACGGCCAGTGGCGTGTGTCTCTCTTCACAGCTCCTCGCCGCCCATGAGCCTCTTCCAATCTGCACAACACGCCATGCCACCGTCGCTACCGACAAGCAGCAATTCTCTTCTGAAAAGGTACTCGGAGGGGCCGAAGATGCTGGCTCCAACCCCTGGTCTCAGACCCCGACCAACTGCTATCATAACTCGACCTTGAACTCGGACTTTTGCGTCTATACGTCGTCCCGCGTCGCCAATGGTAAAGGCACAGCCATCATTACAGACAACCTGCGCGCCGCGCACCTCGCCCGCGCCGTGGCCCTCCTCGCCGACGCGACCGACGACCCTCTCGTCCACGCGGGCTCCCACAAGCCCATCAATGTCCAGAACGCAAAGTACAAAATCGTGCCCATCCCGGGCAAGGACCTCGGCGCCGTGGCCACGGAGCGCATCGTCCGCGGCGAGATCATCCTCCAGGAGACCGTGTCACTGCTCATCGACTACGCCGCCTTTGGCGCCGTGCCGCGGGACGAGATGCGCAGGCTGCAGGGTGACGCCGTCCGCGGGCTGCCGGCGCGGCATCGCGATCGGTTCATGGACATGTCGCCCGGCGCGCATGGCGGAGACGTCGGGTTCGACGAGCTCGTGGAGCGCGTCATGGCGACAAATTCGTTCGATGTCGATACGGACGACGGCGTTCGCGACGATGAGTTCTTCGCCGCCTTTGTAGAGAGTAAGTGCTGCGAGCCGAGCACCTCCCCCCCCCTTCGACGCGTCCGAGTCTTGTCCTAACACCCCTTGA